AAATAAAAATACAGGAACATTAAAAAAATGCAAACACCAAGATAGATTGTTTATTCCACCTGACTCAGTATTGTCTATGTCTTCTGTAGACAACCTGATGGCCTCCAAATGTTTTTATAACTCCCATTATTGTGCTGGTTGGTACTAATACAAATCATCCTTTAAAACACCAGAAGGCACCAGGTTGTCTACTCTTGTTCCAGCTTATTTGCAGCAGTTCTTCAAGAGTTTCTCCAAGGCATGACTGAAGATGGAGGAGAACTGAAGATGAACATTCTGCATATGCTATGCTGCTAAGGTGTGGCTCTTCCTATAGATTATAATAAACACGAAGCTTATCATACATTGATTACATGCCATCAAGTTGATGTTGATTCTTAGTGACCGCACAAATAGAACTCCTCTACAATGATTTGTCATTAACCTGGTCTTTTGGGTCATCCAAAGGTGCATGCATCAACACTGTAATTGAATCCAGCTACCTTGTATCATACATATATACAGTACATACATACTGTAAAATAATAATCTGATTTTTGAGGCCTAGCTCCACATTCCACTGATGTGTACAAAGCTCATACTTCTCATCTGTGCATTCGTTCACTATGTGAAAGGGATCCACTCATGTTAAGCTCTTCAGTGCAAAAAAGCAAACCTTGCTGGACTATGGTTCCTTTGTGTTTGGAACTCCATAGTTAGTTATTCATTGTACTTAGAAGCTCTTTACAAAACTGCTGAATTATGTGCCTCAGGTGAGAGCAGACTGGACTTTATGCCCTTATGACCCCATTCTCGTACTCTTTCAATGCCTGATAAGAGGGGTTGTCTTGAATTGTCCAATGTCAGAGTCCATTGGAGTTGGGTGGCTGAGAGAGAGAGAATGAATTGCCTTTCTGAGCCATGAGAAATTACCGTCACAAAATATAGTTTCAACTTGAAATTCCCCTGTGGACTATTTAGAGGTAGGAGACTTAACTAGTAGTGTCAGGGCCAAAATTCCAGCACAGCATGGTGGACTCTCTTGACCAGAAGACCAGGAATGTAGGGAATATAAATAAGCATTCATCAATAAACAATATAAAAGCTAGAGGTGAGGAAATCTTAGTTTCCTGTCCTGAGAGAGTAGTGCAGCAACTGTAGTGAAGAAAGAGGATGGCCTTGAAGGACAAGAAAGGCAACAGATAAACAAAACTTGAGCCCAGGTCAAGAAAGTAGTTTGTGAAAACAGCACAGACAGGCCTCCCTTAATTCTCACGAAGAGGGAAGAAAGTACCACATTCAGACTTGCAAGGTTCTGTTACTATACCTGCTCCAATAAAAGTAGCTTTTGGTCTGCATGGTGCCTATTTTTTTGTCTGGTTTACCTGATAGGGCTGACAGCAGGAGAGTTTGAAGTTTCATATAAATTCTGAACTACCATTTCAGAAACAGTCAACTATCTTACATGGCCATTGTTTCCTAGAGTACAGTTTCTAGCTGTGTTTATCCTTGTCTCAGTGGGACTCTGACAATTAATGTGACAATGTGACAGGCCAATAACAGAACATCCATGTTCTGTAGAAATTTTAAAAATGCTAAGACTTATGTATCTTGTAAAGCTGGCTTTAATACAGCCTCAAAATGTGTACTAGTTTCTTTCAAATGTGGTATATTGCAAGCCTCCTCATTTCCAGCTGGCTCTTTGCTATAATGCACTGGTGAGAAATGATGGGATTTATAGCCTAACGCATCTGGAAGGCATCAGGTTAGAAAAATCTGGCTTAAGGACATAGAAGAGAAACAACTCCATTTTAAAAAAAATAATTACTATTTAGATTTAATAGTTATTAATATGTTACATGTATAATACAAAACCTGTTCAGTCTAAATATAAAAATAACAGTCCTATCTCAACAAGAGAAAAGTTTTGAACCCATTATCCCTTACTTCAAAAAGGCAAAAAATGGTGCTTATTCATACCTCAAAATTTTGGGCCATTAATAAATTTATTTTTTCTTTAGCGAACTCGCAGGGGTCCTTGCAATATACAGTATTTAATACAATTTCCTTCAGAAATGTTTGCTTGCAACCCTGGAAAAGCAGAGGTTTGCTCAAGTCACCAAGGCAGAGGAAAAACACCACACACGCTTGCTTCAAGGCACATGGCTTTCTCATTCCAAATCAAGTGACTTCATACAGAAGAAAAGTAGGTGTTCATCCCATCCAGGTGGAGACTTTTCCCCCAGATCTCAAAAGAATAATTAGTTCATGCTTTGTACTTTTCATCTCCTTGCTTTAAAGCTTTGTGATAATGAGTATAATCGTGATAGAGCTCCTTGAAAACTTCTCTCACCCCCGCTGGTAGAGAGACATTTAAGAATTTGATGTCGCGTTCCTTGCAGAGATCTATGATATGATAGATCCCTTCCGTTAGATGTTTCTTTACAGTCGGATGCAAAGTCACCTAGAGCGAATATAAATGAGTTTATTAATGCTTGTTACCAGGGATTAATGACAACAAACACCCTCATTAGGAAAAGCAGTGAAGAGAATCATTCATTTATTATCCCACTTGCATTAAGACAAAGATTGTTGGAGGTATAAAAACTCCAACCTTAACATGATTAGAATAGAGGAAAAGATCTGTGATTTCTTTACCAAACTGTAGCCTATTTTTACTGTCAGTTGTTTTTAATTTATTTTTATTCCTCTGTGTATGCTAGCATAACAACTTGGTTATTTAACAGCCAGAAATATAGAACATAAATAAATATTGCTATAGAAATGCCTGGATTTATTCTGTTTAGCAATCTCCTTTGACAAGACTGCCACACTCAGATACGAAAGCACTTTTCCTTCCAATTTTATCAGTTTATGCCATGAGAGAATGACAGAAATGTTCATATCAAAAGTACAAACAGTTAAAAAAAAAATACAGAGATAAAGCAACAGTAAAACATCTACAAGCATGTAAAATAATCAAATGGTTCAGGTGACTGAGGACAAAACTGGATATGTTATAGACAGACAGGAGGTAGATCAGGATCTAGTAGTAGATCCCTGGGTGATGTCAGATCCCACAACTGAGAAGCTATAGCAAAGGTGGGCCCATTCCTATAGTTCACAATCATGGGTTCTTATGAGCAAAGAAGTCTGAATTAAGCCAATCTCAATACTGCATTCAAAACACAGCCAAATATACTTTATTTAAATTAAGCACAATTTGTATGAAAAAAGACAAAAAATTAATCAGGATACTGAACCCCTACCTGACCAATCTACATTTCTTTCACACATAGGCATGTTTTAATGTTATTTGTACTATTTGATGAAACACCGAATAACACACATTAATAACACTGTCACGCTCTTTCAAAAGCATATTTTTGCAGGATTCAAGATTGCTTTATAAAGACTTGCAGGCTATTGAGCATGGTGCATCCAAGTATACACTCAGTCCAGGAACTGATCGCTGCCAGAACCAGCTCAATGTTTTTTTTCTGCATAAAAATCCATTCCTGGACTTCTCTATCCCTCCAGGCTTTCTTTTTTAGAAATATAATTTTTAAAGAAGCCATTAACTGCTGCATTCTTTGCACAGAAGAACCAAAAGCCCTAGTTAGTCTACTCAAATCATCCAAGAATTTACCAGGAAATCTTTCAGTATTAAAAACAAATTTTAAACCAAGAAAGATACATATGCAATTCCCTCCCAAATAAACCACAGCAGAAATGCCCCAAATGATGCTTGAAAAGAGTACTTTTTAATAGATTTTACAGTCATCCTTTAAGGTCTAGAAAATAGGTAATAATCTAGGATTTCATTTTTCTATCTTATGACATAACATGTTAGGTCTTTATCAAGATGGAAAATATGAAAGAAGGAGTGCTGGGATCTGCTCACTGATGTGCCTGCTGGTTGACCACCTTTGATTCCTCCTCCACTCCCTCAGCTTCTAATTCTCTGCTCTAGAGAGTCAGAGGATTCATGAAAGTTTAGGGAGAAAGCAAAGAAGAGGAGGAATCTGCAAAAAGTGTGCCATTTATGAACAAAAGCCCTTTATCCATTCCCAGATGTCTACCTTGAAATCAAGCCATTCAACTGGGTCCTCATTTGTCTACTGAAAGTCTCCTGCTAGATGGTTATTTTGGATTCATTATATTTTCCTGGACTAACTTTGGTTTGGGAAAAAAATATTCCCAGCACTATGGCTGCACTCACGGTTAGCAATTATCTGGGAATGAATCCTACTAAGTACTTATCTACGAGTGAGTCTACAAAATTAAATCAGACTTTTTATTTAAACACCCTTTCCAGTACCAGAGTATGTAAGCATTACGCACCCCCTTCTATCTTTATCTGCTCAACTGAGAAAACCAAACATTTCTTACGTAATCCAAAAAAATCTAAGGGTAAGGTCACCAAAGCTAAAGACAACCCTGGGAATCAAACCTTCTTCACATGACTACTGGCTGTTCCTTTTGGATTTCATGAATCCTGGCACCATCTAAGTAAAATGCCAGGTCTGGCAACATTTTCTTGCTGTGGCTGTCTCAAGAGGTAATCCTGCTATTTTTACTTCCAAAAGTATTCCCTCCTTCTATGTGCCAAAACCCCAGATTAGCCTCATGCTGCCAGACGTGTCATACTAATTTCCTAGGAACAGAAATTAAAGAAAGGGCTGTCATTAACATTAAAGCTTTTTCTCTTTTCTTTAGGCAAGTAATAAAATATTTTTCTAATGAAATGAATTTTTAATTGTGACAGCATAGTGGGGAAAGGGGGAGAATAAAATATCAATATATCATCCAAGGTAGCTGTGAACCCATTCATACCATGAAAATGGTCCATCTTTCTCACGATTTTTAACAAAATGGTGGCATCCATGTTAATAGCAAACCAGCTTTAAAACCAGCATAATGTTGTGTAAGGAACCTGCTATTACAGCCTTCAAGCTGCTTGCAGGAAAGCTCAAATGGGTTTAGCTAGGGTTTTTTTAAAAAAAATTTTTAAAAAGTAAACTAAAATTCTGCATGAACTGTATGCTTTGCTACTAATGTTTAATTAGTAATGCAGGTAAGATAGAATGCATTTTGCTCTGAGTGCACTGGCTTGCCTGCTTTATGCAAATATTACAATTAATAAAAGGGAAGTAGAAGTGATACTGAGAAACTAGGAACAACAGACATACAGTCTATGGATCTATAAAGAAGTACAAAGAGCCCAATCTTGAACAGTTGATCCTTTAACTAGTGCTTGTGCAGAAAAACTCATTTACTTTCAAGTTCTTTTATATTTGCCTCAGTGTGTGAGTGTTAGAAGTTTGCTCTTAGTCAATGAGACATTATTACTGAATCCCCTTCTTCAAAGTGGTTTTCCAATAGATTTCCAATTTTCCATCATGAAAAACTAGGGCAACTGCAAGTGAGAAAATATGGGAGTGAATCAGAGTGCATGACAAAAGGAACCATGCTGATCTGAAGCACATTCCCCCAGGCCAAAGTTTGCCTCGGTTAGTTGAACTGAGTCATTTTCTGAAATGCCAGTTGAAGAAAAAAATGTGAACACTACAGTAGGAGGTATGTTAAAAATCAGAGTCACTTGCAGTGATTAATTTCTCATTTAAAGAAGCATTTGCTTCTCATTAAAAAAAATGACTGAGAATGTCGACCACAATAAGGGACAGAGGGACAACCAGGTTGGCTCCAGCAAGCAAATAAAAGATATTTTGTTTCCTACCAGATGAGCAGGATAAGGAGAATAATACTCAACAGAAAAATCAGTAGAGTGAAGGAATCAGAAGTTTTGGAAAAATAGAATTTCCTTCCTCAAAATGATACAGATTTTGGAGTTAAAACACTGTGTAAGACAAGTGCCTGTTGCACATATCTGCATTCTAAGTCTAGGTGTACTTTATGAAAAATAGATCCTACTGATTTCAGTAAAACTGATGTCCAAGCAGTGGGAATGACATTATTTAAACTTCTCTGCTCTAGTCTAAGTATCCTGGAAGTACCACAGACTAAGATATCCAAATCATTTTTAAAACTGATTCCAAGTGTCTTTCAATATTCTAGAATAGCATATTGAACCCAATACACACCAGATGCATTGGATTACAGTCACCAATACACCCAGTCAGTATCATGGTCCCCAACAGACATGCCAGTTGAGGATGATGGAAGCTACAGTCCAACACTGCTGGAAGACCTAGACTTGGGCAAGCTGTTTTGTGACATGAGACTCAATAAACATGTTATTGAATTTTGCCCATACATCAGTTTCAACATATTCCTCACTTCTCATTTCTTAAAACTAAAGATTGTTTTCTTTCAACTAAACAGTGGGTCATTACCTTCTGCAGTTCGATCACATATTGGGCTACAATGAAGGCTGACAGCACAGTGAAGTCTTCTGTTTTTGCAGCAATATAACTATACATCCGCTCCACCAACTGGGCACACTTCAGTATAGCTTCAAATTCATCTGTGGTCCCTTGGAAAACAAAAGGTATTGAGATCTAATATTGCATTGGGTGGGGGGAAGGGAGGTAATTGTTGTCTCTCCCATCCCCCAGCAAATCATAGGAGCAAATTTACCAATGGGCATATGAGAGCTTCCTGTTAAGCAGCTGCTCATACTTCTAGGCCAGTTATGGGCTGTAGTAACATTAATAACTTCCCTGGCATGCTGATGTAAGAAGGAAGAGTGTATACTTTTGAGGGTGGTATATGTATAATTAGATCTCCTGTGATGTATTCTTTTCTTGTTGCTGTAACGTTATATCTTGTTGAATGTAAGTTATCCTCTTACATTCATGCCTCCTGGAGTGATACCGATAGGACCCAACTCTGAAACTCAGAGGACATAGCAATAGTAGTTCAATATGGAATTATTTTTATTGCACCTAGAATCCTATAAGTCTTAGATGGGAAGAATTAAAACACGAGTATTCATAGGAAATATTTAGAAAAAAATAATCATATATATACTGTTACGTGTATGCTTATTTCTGTTCAGGAGCAAATGGATTTGTGTGATGTAGTCATTGGCTTCCAAGTAGTGCCCACATCTTTTACCTTTCCACACTGTTTACCATTGCAGGAAAGCCCTGCATGGTCTAGATAAGTATTGATCCAGTCATATGGACATTCACTCAGGATATATCGAGTGGGCTTATTTCTAAGCGTGGGTGTTAGGATCACAGCTTTAGGTTCCAATCATATGCATGCTTAACAACAGATGAACTCAATTCAAACTCAATAAGACATACACAAAGAACAACTTAAAACCTCAAATTTGGTTATGTACAGTCTTCCAGACTTGTAAAAACATTTTACACTCAGGAAAGGACATGAGTGCAGAGTAAGGTGAAAATGGAATACAAGATAATATATGTCAAACCTCTGTCTCCTTTTTGTCTCCCTTCATGCATCACAGAAATAACCAATCGATGAAAGCTGTTCAGAAAAGATGGAGCTGCTTTTAGCATCACCTGGGTAACAAGCAAATATAACACTGGATAAATGTACATTGAAGTTAAAATGTAGAGATTCAAAAATCCATACTCAAAGTAAGTAAGAGATTGAAGGCAGAGTTCAAAGCCACACTACTCTGAAGTCTGCTTTTGAGAATCCAGAAGGAATAGTCTTTGACATATGTAACAATAATCCATAATTGTCTATCATTTCTTCCAAAGTTCAGGACAGAGCCCTACCAACATGCAGCCGCAATGGCAGCATCCATATGCAAGAGGGAAATATAGACAGACTGAAGAAATTCTGAGGTTTACAGACATTTAAAAAAAAAAATCTTACAAGGGAGATAATCCAGAATACTCTAAAGCAGTGTTTCTCAACCTTGGCAAGTTTAAGATGTGTGGACTTCACTTCCCAGAATTCCCCAGCCAGCACTGGCTGGGGAATTCTGGGAAGTGAAGTCCACACATCTTAAACTTGCCAAGGTTTGAGAAACACTGCTCTAAAGAGTGAAACAGCAGTGATGAGGAAAGGGAAGGAGAGGAACTAGGTACAAGATGGAAGCAGAAATGGAATTTACTTGATTGGTAGAAAGGGACATAGAGAAATATTAAGAGGATATGCAAAGAACCTCCTCATGGTTGGGATATGTCATCTTCTGGCTAACATTACAAAATAATTTTCAAATATCCCAAGGATGAAAACAAGAGATCCTGATAGAAATGATGAAAAACATGCAATATATTTCGATAGCTCCGGCACATTTTAAATTAATTCCTTAATTAACAAGAAGGGAAGGGGAGGCCTTCTAAGTCAAATTACAAAGCAAATAGAGTTCTTAAAGCAACTGTGTTTGGGATGAACTGAAATGCCTTGAGAGCTAGGAGATCATGGCTATATACTCTTTTTTTGGATCCAGGATTGCATCTGGATCTTTTGAAATGTGCCAGGAGTCATGGGTATGTGAGAAGCAGAAAAAACAAGTTAAAACAGAAAATGGGTAAGTTCAAAATAAAAACAGTGTTTTTCTTAATCCCCATCCAATTGCTTCCATTAAACTGATTTCCCCCACCCCCAACTTTATGCATCCTTAAAGCCACTAACTTTAATTTTCAATTATTTATCTAAACTTGATGTCACCTTAACAGGAGTTGAGAAGTAACACAAAAATCCTATGGTGCCGGGGTGGGGTGGGGTGGGGTGGGGTAGTTTTACCACTCAGGCATTAGATCATGTTTCATATTGCTTTTTAAAATTAAGATAATTAAGTCAGCAGCCTGCTCCTTACCTTAGGGTGACACTGCAGTGTGGAAAAGAGCACTTCGTGGATTCCCAGGAAGATGCTATTATACACCCTCTGGTCAAGAGGGACAGTCAGAAGGATGTTAAAAACAAGAGTAACGTGATGTGGGTTGGAGAGAATCCCTTCTCCGTATCTTAGGAGAAAAGCTGCTGCTTCCAGTATAGGCACAACAAGAACAGGGAGCAGGACCGGATCTTGAGAAGCCTCTTTGATTTGCATCTACATTAGGAGGAAGGAAACACAAATAGTAGAACACATGCCGTATGTGTGGCGGTGTGCTTCTCCAGCCTCAAAACTCCCACTGCAAGCACACAATGCTATGCCATTTTCAGAAACAGTACGGTTTTCTGCAAAGGCAGCAATGCTGACAGATCCGTGCATATCCACAGTCTTTACGTGCCACTGAAAATTTGCTTTATTTTTGATATCTCTGGCTCTGGCATATGCCAAGGGAAAAAAGATTACGTACTGGAATGAAATCTAGAACTCTTTTATTCAATCGGCGCTTAGCTGCATACAACTTATTCTTTAGCACAGTTCAGCTGCTTCAAGATCGCACATCCAGTATGGAGTTACTGGATGAGTTTATACTTTTTTTTTAACCTGGAAAAGCATCATGTTTCCCCCAAAAGTGGCTATAGAGTTCACTAACTGAATGGGCATCAGAGGAAGCTACCTGAATGGTATGATGTCATTTAATGATTTAATTCTCCCTTGTGCTATTTTGCAAAAAAGCAAGCAAATAAATACAACTATACACATAAATATAGTGTAGTCCTATATAACCCAAATAACCCAATCTCACTCGAAAAATAAAACATGAGGACAAGAAATGAGGCTTCTATTTTTCATTATTAGTTTTATTTCATAATGTCCTTTTCTTTTACACTAAGGAACCCTACTGCAGGGATGTCTTAAAAAAGACAATTTGAAGTTGCGAAGTAGGAAGCTAGTTCCATCCCCAACATACCTATATTCCATACACATTACCTTATTATTTTCAGTTCCTTGGATATGAACTGCTATGTCTCCTAGCAATGTAACATGCACACAAAAATTGAGGGTACAGGAAGAGAAGATATAACATCTGATTTAGTTTCCCACTTTCCATCTTCTGTGCATTAGGGAAGTATTTTTCAACCTTGGCAAGATGTGTGGACTTCAACTCCCAGAATTCCCCAGCCAGCATTCCCCAGTTCACACATTTTAAAAGTTGTCAAGTTTGAAGAACCCTGCACTAGGGAATGGGACAGTGGTGTGTAAAACTTCCTGTACTGGAACTTCTAACCTCAGAGTGAACTGTTCCAAAAGTTCTGGAAGTGGTGTGATCCTGAAACAGGTGGTTCCTTGTAATTGGACATTTTGCAAACCACCGGAGTTCCATTCCAGTGGTTTGCAAAATGTCCAATTACAAGGAATTGTGTGCATGAAGTTCTTTGGGTATATATCACAAAGTGCCTGCTTGCCATTAACCTGTATATACCAGAGCTTCAAAATCTTCAGTGGCCTACAACATGTAATGAAGCACAGGATATCATTCTACTGCCAAGGAAGCCAGGAAGTCTGGCCATACAGGAAGCTGCATACAGTAGCAATAATATCCAGTGCGCTTTTGGAGTAACTAGATTTAGAAAGCATACAGCATTGACATAGTGTTGGTATGAACTATTTAGTTCTCAGTCTTCAGACTAAGACTACAATATGAAAAGAGTGTGCTTCTTTTCTGTGTGTGTGTTGGGGGGGGGGGGTTCAGTAGCATAAACCTAAACCAGTGACCTAAATTCAGTAGCATAAACCTAATCCAGAGACACAGGTACTTACAGCTAAAGCAGTGATTATCTGGGGACTAGAAAACCAGAAAACTTTCTCTTTCTCTCCACTTAGAGGGCAGCCGAGTAGCACTTTCAGTAAGGTAACAGCTGATAATACTATCTGCACAAAACACACCAAGAAAATAAGAGTAATAAGCACGGTCACTTCAAAAAAGGTAAAAGGTAAAAGATACAAGCAAAATGCAACCTAGAAAATATTAGGCTAACCAAGGTTTTATAAAAATAAATGAAATCTAAGCATACAAAATACATGTAGAAACTAGCACCCCCAAGATGTTGTCTGTGTAGTGTTATTTTTAAAATATTATCTTTGTACCCTTTTCTCTGAAGCTTACCAATGCATAGGCAATTGGACAGGTAAGCACATTACTTAAGCATTATATCAACAGACTAAAACTGCAGTTTTAGAAGCAGGTTTTTCTGAATGATGCAATTTACTCTTGCTCATTCAGAACTTGGACATGCTTTTGGGAAATACAGACAATACCCAGATCACATAAGCCCTGATGTATGTAATTCTGATGTTATGCAAGAAGGAAAAACTGCAGCTATTATGTTTCTGCATGCAGATGTGTGATTTGATATGCATGAGAATCAGCTTACACAAGGATTCCTAGAAGACAATCTTCGTGTAACCCAGGAACTACCTATAATATAAGATTTAGGTGCAGAGTATACATTCTGTACTCAGAAGGTTTCTGGGTTTCATCCCCAACTTCTCCATGTAAAAAAAAATATTCCATGTAAAAAATACAAAATAGAAAACCTTGGTTAGGTCACATGCCCCAGTAGAAGTAACTTTTGAGCCTATTCATTTTGATGTCTCTTCTCCCTATGCAGCAGCATATTGCTGTTCAGCAGCGATGTAGTTCAAAAGCAAGGAACTGGATGAAGGCAAATGCTGACCACCATTGATTCATATAAGAAATTCAAAAGAAAATGAACAACATTGTCCCTACTTCAGGAGTTTGTTTCCAAAGGTTGCAAACATTCAGTCCCTCAATCAGCAGCCTCAACATGGTACAAAAGTCATCAGTGGTACTATTCTCCACCAGCTGGGCAATCAGTTTGGTCAAGGGCACATCTAGATCTTGGATCAACTGGCCTTTGATTTCGGGACCTGCAATAGTTCAAGAGAAACCATCATCCAAAGTCTTAAGGCCTGCAGACTGCTGATAGATGCTGAACGATTCTTGCACAGAATTTCCCTTCACTTCCCCCACAGAGAGATTTACTAAAATGACAATCCAATATCATATTTATTATTTTATTTGTACAACATTCTTTTTTCTTATAGTGTAATAGACTTGACAGTTTTTCTCACATGCCAACAACAGTAAGCATCTCCATTTCTGCATCCAGAAAGCAGGAAAATAATGAAAGGTCTAGCTTCTCCTGTCCTGTGAACTTCCTGCCAAAATCTCAAATTGTTTCTATCAATATAACTTTCCTTAAGTTATAAAAAAAACACTAGCAGAATTTCACACAGTAGTCACACAGAACCAGGGTGAAGAGAGGGGATTAGGGTGCCTTTAAGGTAACAAATTTATGCCCTAAAAATTCTAGAAACCACAAGGAAATCAGGCAAATTGCCCCAAACTCATCAAAAATATAGACGAAAACTTCAGTGCACTCTGGTGAAATCATATCACTGAATGTGCTTCTAGCAGGCCAGGGAGCACACAAAGGCAAAAGGCTATGAACAAGATTCCCAGCTCTAGAATTTCCTCATAAGAGTCACTGGTTTCACTTCTTCACTAACAACTTACTGGACTTTCAGTCACCTCACAGCCATGATAGACAAAAAAAAAACATTCTTAGAGATATCATTAATTTGTGCCACTGCTGGCCATTCAGTGGTAACACTGACCTTTCAACTCTTTCACAATCTTTCTCTACTATTCCTGTGTGCTGATTTTTGATCCTTACTCAACACTGGCTCTCTGAGACTGTTTCTAATCTACCATCTCCCTTCAATATCTAGGAGAGGACTGAGGAAATAAGGATTGCAATTCCTTACCTGCAAGTAGTTTTCTGACAGAATTAAATATGGCAATAGAAGTGATGTGTGGCGGATACAGTTCTGGCATGGAACAGAAAACAGTTAAAAACTGCAAAGCAGAGTGAAGGAACTCGGGGTTGCCATCTGCCAAGTCAAGTTCTCTCAATATTTGATCACAAAAACTTTGATACAGTTCACTGTGAAAAAGTTGCCAGTTTTTGCTTGGTTGCATCAGACCCTCTAGTTCATTCTCATCAGCTGCAAGAACCATACACTGAAAGCAAGATGAATCTGCTCTTAGAAGAGTAGTAATATGTGGTATAAATGCCAAAGGTAATGGCTGGCCTTTTGTGTTGTTTCTAAGACAGAACTTGATAGTTGCTCCTGTTTGTAACATGGCCTGTTTAAGAAAAATAGGTAGCATTCCTGAAGCCTGTGGTTTTCCATGCTGCTGCTGCTGCAGATATGTAGCCAGAATGTGACACAATGCAATTAGTGCCACTAGAAGAACCTGGTCAGCTGCAGGGCTCCAATGCTCAGACTGTCCAGAACTTGTTGAACATGGTTGACAAATTGTTATGAAAGACAGGAACTTTTCCAGGTTCAGTTTCACACTCTGCCTCCTTTCTAGAGTTACCTGAAGATATTGTTCCAAAAAGACTTGGAGCTCATGAAGAAATTCGTCCCAAGCAGCAATCTTCAAGACACTGCCAAAGGTCTTACAGATTGCAAACAAAGAGGTGAGGACAGCTTCGAGAACATCACTGGCATACAGAACCTTGAAGGATGAGTTTGCATGTCTGCCAGCCTGTAGGCATGCTAGAAGATGGAAGCAGGTTGCCAAGAACTTCAAAGATAAGGCTTTGTTGCAAGAAATGCTTGCTCTGGTATTAACAGTCAAAGAAATCAACAAAAGAAAGCACCGTGTGAAGTCCAAAGGAAAGAAGCTGTCGACATTCAATGCTGAAATGATCTCTAGTACACCCAAGAGCTCTTTGATATGCTCTTCTTCCAAGGTAGCATAAGATCTGTCTTTCACTAATGACAGTATATTGAGAGCAACTTTTTCCAAAACTGCCCAGGAGGCTGAAAAGTCATTGCTAGACCTTATGCTGGCCGCATGACCAGAAGGGACAGCTTCGCACCATGGAACGTCTCCTGCACACAGTAGCTGAAGAGGCTGACTGGCAATGTCTGGAAATGTAGATGAGAGAACACTAGCACAGTGCTGAATTATATGGCTTAGGAAAAAACAGTGTAGCATCTGCAGTTCTGGAAGAAGAGAACTGTGCAATAAATCCTTAGACACCTTCTCCACTGTGAGTAAGGAATCGTCCTCATCAGCAAAAGCTGCCTGGGTTTGCTTAACCAATAGTGTTTTCAGTAGCATCTCTGCAGTATATTCTGTATCCTTCTCAGAAAGATAGGGAAACAGGACAGGAAGATTTGAGACTACCAGGTGCCAATGTGCCACTGGATACGTAAGAGTCGTTATACTACTTGCACTGCCATCCCAGGGTTCTGATTCTTCTTCGTCCGTGTAAGCTCTTCCAGATTGAAGGATGAAGGCCCCAGCAGTCTGCAAAGTCTGATATGATGCCTCTGTCCAAGAGCTGGTATACATTAGCATCTTCTTCATTCTTTGAAGCACCAGCCATTCAGTACAGTAGCTGCTCATTGAGGAGGAACGTTTCACCAGCTGATCTATTTTCCCCCAGCATTCTGCATCTAGACCAGGAAATATGGCTGAGAAGTCCCAGTTTCCTTCAGAAGAAGCATGAAGCAAAGGGTTTACCTGAGTTAATGGAGAGCCGTACTTCTTGCAATTTAAGGCAAAAAGAGTATCACTTTCTACCCACACACAAGCAAGAAGAAGGGCTGAGTTACTGACCTTCTCTGTCCAAAGCTCAAGTTCTGCCCCTTCTGCCTCAGAATCTTTCAGCAGGTCAAATAAAACTTGGATGACATTTTTTTGCATTGTCTCCAGTAGGCTTTGAGTGCGATTCACAACAGACAATGGAGTGGAATCATCTAAACTCTTCATGTGAAAGAGAATAGAATACAGCAATCTGCTTATGGACAGAAGCTTCAAGGCCATGTCGGAATCCCCCTTGACATGAGGAATGACAAAAGTCTGACATTTTTCCATACTGAGAGCTACTATGTCCAGCACTTGACTGGATGGCAGATCAAGAAGACACTCACACAGCTTGGCCCTGATACCGGCTGGCAAAAGTGGGAGTCTTGACTCTTCTGCAGCAGGACGTAAAATGACTGATAAAACTTCTTGGAAGAGATTTTGGAACTGGCGCAATTTGGTGTAAGTGGAGAAGAGAGTGCTAACAAGTGCCGTCTGAGCCTTCTTTGTACGCGGCTCAGAGACTTCTGCGTCAATCCAAGCCAAGGCCACTAAGTCATCCAAGTCAGGATCCACAATCAAATGATTTAATGAAATCAAGGCCTTGAGACATCTAAACCAGGCAGGTATGGTGGCCTGTGAATGACTCATCAGCAACTGTGCTAACCGGCGGTAAAAGTGGAACTGGACCTCCTTGTGCCGAATCCGATCGGCAGCAACATTATAAATATTACTGCTCAGCACCAAATTGAGAAGCTGCTCCACTGCGAGCAGCTCTGAGCTCCATTCTGATGCTGGAAGCTGGTTGTCCCAAAGATTCCCTTGCAGGCAAGAAATCCGTAAGCAACCAAAAAGCTTGGTAAGCATGTGAAAGCAGACCAAATGGTCTCCGGGCTTATTATAAATCTCTAAAAAAATCTTGAAGAGCAAAGGCACAGAATGTGCTACCACTTTTCCATGAAGAGCTTGCTCGCAAAAGGCAGTGTCTCCTAAAGAAGCCTGGATTGTGCTGGCCGGTAGCAGCAGATTTTTCAAGCCTCCTTTCTTTGTGCTGACAGTTTCCTTTTCTGGCAACAGCTCTTCTCTGTAGGATGACAAGAGCTCCTGTTGGAAAATACCAGTCTTGAGCAAAGTCTCTACATGATTTCGGACTTCCTTGCTCAGATGTGTACGAAGGCGATTGTCATCTGCTTCTGTCCATACTTTAATTGTTAGCAAGTACCTAAGCAATAGGCATGGCTGAAGCAGTTGTTGGATCACCTGACCAAATACTCGATTTGCATTGGGTTGCTGCCGCTGAATTAGAAGGTACTGCCTGAGGCTCAGTTGAAGGACTTCAAACAACTGGGAGGATACAGCATCTTCTGACGATAACTGCCAACAGGTTAGCCAGGACAACTTACTTAGAAGATGTACCAGCAGTTCAAATTTTGCAGTATAAACTATTGAAAGAGGAGGTTTGGAAAGGATGCCACTACAACAACTTAGCACTGCACTGACGTTCTTCAGTGTTTTTTGAGAGTAAGCAAGAGAAAGCTTTTCATTTATGACCTAAAGATGAGACAAAATACAAAGGAGAAGTAATGTTCAGTGATCTATATCAAAATTAAACTCAGTGACTTTTTGTGTATTTCATTGTTATCTGCTAAATCACTCAGTGTAAACAGCATTTTACGTTTTCTTTCCCTCCTTTTACCTTTGGTCTCCTTTAAAAACTGCACTACCTAAACCATTTGTTCCATCTCTTTATAATGACAGTGGTTATGGAAATTCAGTCTCATCCTGAGGATCCAAAAGTAGACAGATAAAATGGCCTTTACAAATGGATTATAGGCAAGGAAGGTTGTATAAAGGTGAAAATCAAATCAGGCAATGACTTAGTAAAAATATCTATCACACTAACACAATCTGATTTCCAAAGCAACATCTGCCTTAGTGGGCCTTGTACACAAAAGAAGCATTTCTTGTCATCAAGCCTCACAAATCTGGCACCCTAGAAGTGAGAATCACACCAGAATTCCGAAAGGCATCTTTAATACAAGGCAGGGGTAAAAATATAATCTTGAAACCTTAAAAATCCCCAGGCAGCCTTTGAAACATTTCCTTCCCATGGCTCCCACATCCAGGCTGTGCTGCCTTTTTTCACACCAACTAAACTCCTCCACCTGCTTCTCACAGTCTCTCATATTTTTTCACTAAAATACAAAACATCTTTTACCTATTCCCTAAAGCCAAAACGTTATGCTCTGTTAAAAGCTCACTGCTATCAGTGCGATGTTGTTCTTGAATAACATGTAGATGCTCAAGTGTAACAAACAATATCCTTGAGCTGGGAAGAAGTGGCATCTAGTTTGAACATTTCAAAGTATAATGCATTGCTTTAGAGTCTCATTTGCAGTTCTATCTTATCTCATGAAGATTTGTTTTAATTCTTAAAAAAAACACCAAATTATAGCCACAATATTACGTGCCACAGTGATTCTAAGTCAAAGTTAGTTTGCCAATCTGCACATCTCTATGAACTTACTGGTATCTGACAATATTCCTGTCAGTACTAATATGCTTCCATATGCTAAACATATACACCCACTATACATAAACAACTACAGGATCATAACTGTACTGCCCAAGTTGGCACCTTCCAGATGTGTTGCATCAGCAACCCAAGAATTCCCTTGCTGGAATTATTTGAGTTGCAACCCTAACACAGTTGAAGAGAGCTAAACTAGGATAGGCTGTTGGTAAAGAAATTCAGCTTCCAAGGAGTATCAAATTATTGCAGAGAAATTTGCAGCAGATGTGATGAAAAAAGAAAAGAATCAGCAAGATCTCAAAGCAATCCATCCACTATTCCCAGAGGAAGACAGATCTATGTAACAGTTTATATATCTGTAAATGTACCTGGGCAATTGTAAAACGCAGAGTGACTGTTTTTCCATCCTTGAAGAGATTCTGTAGCTTTTTGCTGTGAATGATGCTGTCCAGGTACATCCAAAGCTTCTCAACTATTTCATCTGGCAATTCAAGTTTCTTATTGTAGCAAGAAACCAGGCTATGACTCACCCAGTCAAGTAAGACCTGCATCCCCCAAAATACCCATGCACACATATTAAGAATGATTACTTTAGGTTGTAGGGACAGTTGGGAACACAAAGCAGTTTGAGGCAAATAATGGTGTTTGATTCCTAAAAGCAAGCAGATCTGTCTCACTAACACAGTATATGGGAGAACAGCTCAACATTTATGCATAAATTAATAGGCTCCCAGTATTACAATTAAAGAGATGACAAAATCTAGAGATCCATTCTACTTCCTCATTAACAGCCCTCATCTTCTTGTACGTCTGCTACGTAGCTTGCAACTAAAGCTGCCTTTACCTGTGGGACTATACCTGGGCACGCCTGTTTTTTTTACCACAATCAAAGAGACCTCTCCCAATTTCCAACAGTAAGGATTCCCATAGAAGATCTTTAAACTTAAAATTTGGATCCTATATATATTGGATGTCAATGGATGAGTGATGTGTCCCTTCCAAAAATATACTAAGGCTACATATTCATGTGCATGGAAATACTAGGAACATCACTGGAAAGGCAAAATACACATTTAATTTTATACGACACAGAGAAACACATGTAAGACCTATAGCACATAACTGCATAGTGATATCCAGTCTTACATTCTAAACCACTTTGTAAAAGAGTATATTTTATAAGTAGTCCATCTGCTCACAAATGAGTATCAGTGCTAGTTGGTCGGGACATTTCTTAGAATTTTCTAGATTAGCAATCAGCCTGGAAAATAATGAATTATCGCCCCAAATTACAAATGTTTCCTGCTACTACCTTAACAGACCCTTAATTATCAGTTAGATAAGTTGCTATTTACAGACTTAATATAATTCAGTCCTTGTAAAGCATGCTAAATCACAGGTCTCTGATTTCAGTGAAAGTTGACCCTGTGCTTAATGTTCCCAGTGATATCAGTGGGGCTATTAGGAATCCTTAATCCCAGCTAGACTGTACCTTTATTAACTTTTCAGTTTGGTTTCAAAGGGCAGGGTGCACATTTTAAAAAGAAAGCAATAAAATAGTAATAAATAAATTTAGTTGCTACTCAGGAAATCTGTATCCCGTTGATGAAATCCAATGTTAGAAGCGTATTTCTGCTTGAGCAATAGATCATCTTTTTCTTCTGCAACCTCCTGCCATGTCCTCAAAATCTTTTCTTGGACCGGTTGCAAAAAGACAAGGAAATCTCCCTCTTCTGTTTTAAAAATCCACCTAAAATGTGGTGCAAAATTGTTGTCCCCCAAATATATTCCCCGTGTGTAGAGAAAGAAATATTTTTAAGAAAGACAAGGTAGCCTAACTTTAAAAAATGGCAAAAGAATGGCCCTAGATGTTTACAGAAATATCCAGTACATTTATATTTCCTTCAAAACAATTTCTAATATTACAGAAATATAGTCAGAATGGTCTTGTGATAAAAACAGCCTCTCATGAAAAACAACTTGACATCTGTGCTAGTCAAATGCTTCTTCAAATATCAAATTCATTCTCAGTCATTTTCACTTAAACTTGGATAAAAATAGGCAATAAAAAGTTTTGAATAACGAAGTTCTCTTTTGGTTCAAGAAAGAGTGCCTAGTAGGTTCAAGACTTCCTAATATAAAAACAGTATGAAACACCTTTTAGGGGAAAACATTTAGTGAAATACATTACTTGTTCTTTGTTTGGAAGGAAACATTGATGAGAAATCCATGCAAACCGAGCCAACTTGAGTTTGTCCTCCCAAGATGTCTTTGGGCTTTTCAGCTTCAGATGAATACCAGAGTAAATTGCAGCCATGGAAGTAGCACCTAAAAATTATTTAAAGCTGAATATTAATTATGTTTCTAACCAAATTCTCATGACAGTCCTTAAAACAGTGCTGCATATCTGTTCTGGTCTGCAATATAGTTGATACAGGTTGAAAAAGGGAAGCCCTATAATTCAATTCTCATGCCTTCTAAGAATTTATTCATGGTAGTCTTTCGCAAGTCTCCCTGCACACATGTCCACCATTGGAATATTGGAATAAAAACAAAGAACACTGCTGATCAACCCTGAAGAATTATTCTAACACCACTGAGAGACCTGAAATGCCTTTTCTTATGCTTAAGAAATAAGAAGAGAGCATTTGCTAAAGGAAAAAATGATCTCATGTTAAGAGATGCCTAGATGTCTTTTCATCAGCAGAATAAATGATGTTTTGAAGGGTCTGTTCTTTCCTAATTTGAGATTCAGCTTACAGATTGATTCTAATTCTGATCTAATTCTAGACCGATACCCAAGAGAGATAAGGGCAAACTGGCACTGTTTAGAAACAAGCTAGCTAACCCAGTGCACCTAAGCATAGTAAATCACATTAAGATTCACCAGTTCATTCTATGGCAGCTTCCTCCTACCCATTTTCCCTGTTCTTATAGTGGCAAGGTCTGTCCACATTGACATTGTACATGAGAGATTCATTATATACCAAAGCTGTGCAGTACTTCAAATGCACTCTCCAAAAAGGGGTTGGAGCACCCAGGAAAAGATACTGATTCCTTAAGATAAAGATAAGTGCTACATTCATTTTCCTGCACACACCAACTGTGCTAGTATGAGGACATAACTGTTTCAATAAAAACTGTTCAAATCAATAAAGTGTGTCATCTCTACCATTGCCAAAATCTGTTTACTGTCTTCACATTATTTCCCTCTTTCTCCCTGCATCAAAAGGAAATAAAGTTTGCATATGCACATTATCTGATCAGATTCTTACTATCAATTTACTGTAGTGTTTACTTCTTATAGATTTATCACTTATTTATTATAGATTTACTATAGTGCCTTCCCCCAGACATGGAAACAACTTGTTACGGACCTACCAAAATGGTCTCTCATTTCCCAAATTCGTGTAGGAAACACTTCAAACAAGTCTCTGCCAGAAGTTCTCATGCAGCAACCACAATCCCACCTCAATATTAATCAATCAATCCCAATATTAAAGTAAGGGCTTCGACACAATGCCTCACCAAAACACACAGCCAGCAGGCGAACCTGTGCCCTCTAGATGTTTTAACTATAGTTTCTATCCAACCCAACCTTGCATGGCCAAAGGCCCTACCTTGCTGACTTGCAGCAACGTTGGGCTACGTTCTTCGGAATTCCCAACCGGTCTCTGACAGCACAGAAAGGTGCAGTCTAAAATAACCAGAGGGCATCTGCCCTGCTAAGGGTCTTTGCACCGCAGTCAAAACTAAGAAGCAGGAAATTCAGGGCAGGCGATATGACTTCCAGGAAAGTCTGCGCTTGCCACCGTTCCCTCTATCACAAGAAACAAGGGGGGTTCCCCCTGGTTTTCCCAGAGTCGCTTATCTCACGCGTTATGAAGTTTGCAAACCCACACCCAGTGAGAGCTGCTTACAAATCAGCCTACACAAGATCGGTTTCTAGCTGCCTTCCAGAACTTGCCGCCCTGCCAGATCACAGCTTCCAGAGTCCCTTGCTGGTCGATGACCGAAATACGGTAAAGAGACTTGGCTTCACTTCCACAGTCCACCCATAGCTCAGGCAACAGTTGCGTTAGTGCGAAAGCGGAGGACTGTAGTCCATCAGAGCTTCAAGGCTACTCTGATGGCCGGCACGCAGTTGCACCGTCCGCCGGACACTCCGGCAGGCTTCCTCCGTCCCGCGACGTACACGGCAGGCGGGACGCCTTCTCTTCCCACGAGCTGCCCAGATGCTCCACGCACGTGCTTCTCCTTCCGGCACCTCCTCGTGCTCTTCTCTGTCACCTTTATCCGGATGGGGGGGGAGGGCTAGCGCAGGCATTCCTAGCTGAGCGTCGAAAAGAGGGAGCGCCTTCCCATTGGCTAGAAGGCTACGCCTGCGCAGTCGCCTTTCTCCCTGGCCCCCGGTTTCTCTGAGTCAGTTCCGTCAGTCATGGAGCGGCGGTTTCCAGCCGCGACAGTCGTCGAGATAACGCCACCAGACCTTGCAACGCGGGACGTCCGAGCCAGCTTAGTTTGCAGAAGAGTCATCCAGGAGGAAAAACTGCTCGCGCCACCACCGGAGTCCGCGATCACCGCAACACCAGCAGCAACCGCGGCGGAGTCGTCTCGCGCCGCTGGGCGCAGTGACTGACGGCGCGAGCCCAAGAATTCTGTCTCGTGCCTGCATTAGCAGTCACCCACGTTCGCGGCGGCTCGCGCGCTCTCTCTCTCTCTCCATTCTTCCACGCCTGCAATGCTCCAGTGAGTGTATTTCTGCCCCGCGGAGCAGCTCCTTTGCTCGGGCGGGTGGAGACTCGGGACGAGCCGAGCTGTGCGTGGCGCGCGGAAGCGCCCTCGGGCCCTCACTGGGTAAAGTCGGATTCTCGTCGTCTGTTTTCCCCCCTTCCCGCCGGTGCAGCTGCCGGAGCGGCAGGAAGAGCTGGGTGTCTTCTCGCCGTGCATGCTTCCTCCTAAGCTTTCCGGTCGTCTCTCTTCTATCCCTCTTTCTTTCCTCCCTCCCCGTGTTTTTGCAAGTGCTTTCCCTGGGGAGGGATGGAGAGGAAAGGCATAGGGGAGATCTTTTGTACACCGTGCCCTGTTTGGAGCGTGAAGGAACAGTCCTTCATACTTTTGAATAAGTGGACTCTATATTAGGCCGCCGTTGATTAAGTTACATTTAATCCTTTGCTTTATTGTTGCTGAGCTATCAGTGTAGATAAGCAAGATAGAAGCCCACTTGGAGCTTAAACAAAATAGCCACGTGCCACAGTAGGTATTAGCAGTAGTTTTAGTTCTGTAGTGCAGTTCCAAATGCCATTATTGCTTATGGTACAGAAACAGTTGACCCAAGACTATGGGTACTGTCCCATCTCTTTGAGGTAGGGAGATGATGCACCAGGACTAGTATTTAGGGAGACATATCTCTGATTGATGGAGCGAAAATACAATTTGGAAGCTGAAAAATTAGGAGGGAATGCAACAGCCCAGCCAGTATGGGAAGTTATGGTTCAACAATGGCTGGAAAGTCACAAATTCCCCACCTGGGATATCACCTGGAATTCTTATAATCAATAATACTGTATTGAAAAATCATTTGCAAATAAAGATTTCTAAGCAATTTAATATTTGATGGGTGTCATGAAACCTAAAAAGTTAGAATGTCATAAGAAAATAACACTGAGACTGAAATAACTTTTCATATTGTAGACTGTGGAAATAGCAACTTATTCTTTTAATAGCAGCTGTTTCTTAACCATAAACACAGTCATTATGGTTTATTCAATCAGTACTTTACACTGGTTAAAAGCATAGTTTCATGTAATTAGGCCAATGACAACTTGAAGTTTTCACTGACAAAATCCTTGCCCAACATTTTGTTAAGGTTTCATTTAAACATTCATAATCCTAAAAGTACTTCATTGTCATAAATCCCACCCATCTCAAAGTGCTGGAATCTAAATACTACATTCCAATATTGTACCAGGGGTTCTCTCAGAATGAAATATGGCAGAGGCAGCTTACAGCTTTCTAATACAACAACTGTGTCTTAAAATTCTATATAAAACCCATGATTTTACTGTCTCCTTGCAATGAGAATTCTGCTTCTCTTCTTTGAAGGTCATGAAACGTGTACGCACTGAACAGATTCAGATGGCTGTTTCCTGCTATGTCAAGCGCAGGCAGTACGTAGACTCAGAAGGTCCCCTGAAACAAGGGCTGCGCTTATGCCACACTGCTGAAGAAATGGCAGCTAATCTAACAGGTAAGCAAGAAAGGAACAGTGGGATTATTTCTGTTATTTCTGTAGTACTACGAAATGTCTAAGCACGTACTTGGAATATCCTTGGGAAGAGACTGAACATAGATAATCCAATTCAGCAGTATTCAGGGGGACGGGGGGAGTCAGAAAAGGTGGTAGCCATGAATGTGTGATCAAAGCCCTGTCCCTTTTTACATGCATTGTGTGAGCAATGCACATTAAAAAAAGGAGTGGGTTTTTTATTGTGTAGTCACAACTACCATCTTGACTTTTTTGACACCCCCAAGTGTCCAAGTAGGCAGGTATGTTCAAAGAGTTGAAATCAGTTAATATTTGCAAGGAAAACCTGTTAGAGATTTTCAAATAAGAAAACTTAATGAAACATCTAGTTAGTAGCTGAATGTTCGAAAGTGACTCATTTGGGAACTGCATGTTTAAACTATTACTGTATACCTTGAAATGTTGAGGTAAACTGCACTTTTATTGGCTTAGTTATTGTAATGTTTTAATTCAGCCAGCATGGTTTGTAAACCATCACTTAGAGTTTAGTTTAGCATTATGTGTGAAGTCAGCTATTGTGGCTTCATTATTAAAACAAATTATGGCTTAGTGTGATGTGTGAAGCCAGCCACTGAAATGGAACATAAGGCTTAGAAAGATTGAAAGGTGTTATTAAATACAGTGAAATAAAATTATGGGAAGTTGTGTTCCAGTTCAGAAGTGGTTAATACTTTCTAAACCTATGAGCACCTATGAGCATTATTATTTAAAAGGTAATTCTGGGTTCTGTGGATATATTAAATTAACCTTAATAACTTAAGGATGCTAAGTTATGTCATTATTTTGGTCAGTTCTGTATGACACAATTAAATTTTAAAATGCATAACAATAAAGTGTGCAATTTTAAGTTATGATTTCCCCCCAAAAGTAGTTTTTTTAGAGGGAAAATACCAGGCACCATACTTATATAAGCAACTACATGAATTGGTTTCTTGCTTGAAATCAATGTTGAACTACCTTTTCAAGTTATATAAGAGGAGAGCATCTATATGCAAACATCTCATGCAGTTTTTCCATGTATATGTTGGAGGCGTTATTAGTGTGTGTGCGTGAGCGTGTGTGTATAAAACAGTAAAAACATTTACATGATGTGGTTACTGTGAATTTAAATGAATTCAGGTCATTAGAGATATGTGCTCATTTAAAAATGAAGCCAATCTAACAAAGTTTGTATTGGGTCCTGGCATACTCTTGTAACACTGGACAATACTTTCTTATAAAGATTGACATTCAGTGTGGTACACAAAGATAATGTAATTCTGACTCAAGCTTTTCTTTCAATAATTAGACCAGGTGCAGGCAACTTTATTCTGGATGTTTGATGTGCGGGGGTTTGCTTTCCCAAAAGTAGGCAGGCCCCGAACAAAAACTAATTCAGTTTACAATTAAATTAAAGTTTAACTGAGTGCAGCTTTATTGTTAGACTTAATCTAGTTAATTTATTTGTATTTGTATTTGTTAGATGTATATCTTATTTTTCATATAGGAGCTCAATGCAGGATACAGAGAGTGTCCTCCTCCATTTTTCCCCACAACAATCACCTTCTGAAATAGGTTGGGCTGAGAGAGAATAACTGGTCTAAGGTCACCCCGTGAGCTTCCGTGGCTGAAAATAGACTTTCTGCTCCTAATCTAATAGCTTCACCGCTACACTATACTGTCACATTAAAAATCACAAGTTGGAGGCAAATTTTAGACTTGGATGGGCATCCTTGAATTAGAAAATTGGCACTGTTGGTTGAATTAACAGTGAACAAATATTTCTTGTTCATTGGGGGGAAGTTTTTGTTGCAGTGTCATGATGAGCTTAAAGAAGCATGACTAAGGGGGAGTTGTATATGGCATGGTAGAATAATGAAAAAACTTACAACTGTTTAATACTGGATGCTCAACTTGTTCTGTAGCAACCTTCCCCAAGCTGGCGCTCTGCAGATACGTAATTCAGCTAGCATTGCCAGTGACTAATCATGGTCCATCTTAACCAAAGCATTAATTTTTCAGGTTAAGGTTAGACTTAATACACCAGGATGGAATTGGATGAAAACAATGGATATCTTGATTTTAATTAAATAATTAGTATTTGCTTCTTAGAAAAAGGGGTACATGCACTGCTCATTCTTGTTTGTACTCATGCAGGAATACATGTTAAAATAAGCTTAGCCACATCTTCCGATCTCATTATTTTATTTTTGGATAAATTGTGTAAACCCACAGAAAATGAATGCAAGATCCTAATTAAATTAATAGAATTTAAATGATGTAGGATTTGCATGGTACAAGCTACTTAAGATATATTACTAAAACGTCTTAAGTTTTTTCCATTGTTCAGAACTATTAGGCAACTTAACTGCAAAAGTGGCTTCCAGATTCCTTCTTGTGGGATTTTTATGGGATGTTAATAGTGAAATTGAGGTTCCAGCTTGGCAGGAATTAATTGATTGTGGAGGTTCCATTGTAAGCAGAATCTGTAGTGATGCTAAGCCACAGATCTAGCATCAAATAACTGAGGAGTCATTTGAACACATAATGGTCTAGAAAATTATATTGGTGGGGTAATAATCACCATGAGATGAATCCAAGCCAATGCTCAGGAAGAGAAAAGGATTTTTATGCCCCTCTGACCCTATCCGTTCCTTGCTTCTCCCAAAGGTGGGGAAGACTTGCTGAATGGGATACACTTCCTAAAAACCAGGCAAAGGTATCTTCTGCTAGCAGGAGGTCTGCTATTATAAAGTTTCTCTCCTTGATTGCCTGAAATCTCTCACTTTCACATCTGTTTCTCATACTACAGTCCCTCAGTGGAATTTCAGAGGATGCAGAAGGTCTCCTTCCTTCATTCCTCTTACCCATATTTCTGTGGATTTAATCCAAATGTGAGGAATACTTTCTACTAAAACTTTTAAAATTGTAAAAGATTGATTCACAGAGTTAGTGATTCCTAACCCCTCTTTGGCTTTATTAGGATTCTAGATT